ACCCTGTACGTTCAGCCGTGTCGATTCTAATTGATTTCGTAATCCATGTACTATTGAAATTTGAATAAGACCAGGTACGTGTTACCACTCGTGACTGAGGGATCTCAGGGCTGTCAGAACTGATTTAAGGGCTTTTCAGAGGCATTCTGAGACTGTCTCAAAAGGGAATCAACCCTGTACGTTCAGCCGTGTCAATTCTAATTGATTTCGTAATCCATGTACTATTGAAATTTGAATAAGACCAGGTGTGTGTTACCACTCGTGACTGAAGGGATCTCAGCGCTGTCAGTCCACTTCAGGCACCTACTTTGGCCCATTCTGAGACTGTCTCAAAAGGAATGAACCCTGTACGTTCAGCCGTGTCGATTCTAATTGATTTCGTAATCCATGCACTATTGAAATTTGAATAAGCGCAGGTACGTGTTACCACTCGTGACTGAGGGATCTCAGCGCTGTCAGTCCACTTCAGGCACCTACTTTGGCCCATTCTGAGACTGTCTCAAAAGGAATCAACCCTGTACGTTCAGCCGTGTCGATTCTAATTGATTTCGTAATCCATGTACTATTGAAATTTGAATAAGACCAGGTGTGTGTTACTGCTCGTGCCCAAGGGATCTCAGGGCCGTCAGAACTGATTTAAGGGCTTTTCACAGGCATTCTGAGACTGTCTGAAAAGGAATCAACCCTGTACGTTCAGCCGTGTCAATTCTAATTGATTTCGTAATCCATGTACTATTGAAATTTGAATAAGCGCAGGTACGTGTTACCACTCGTGACTGAGGGAGCTCAGGGCTGTCAGTCCACTTCAGGCACCTACTTTGGCCCATTCTGAGACTGTCTCAAAAGGAATCAACCCTGTACGTTCAGCCGTGTCGATTCTAATTGATTTCGTAATCCATGTACTATTTAACTTTGAATAAGACCAGGTGTGTGTTACTGCTCGTGCCCAAGGGATCTCAGGGCTGTCAGAACTGATTTAAGGGCTTTTCACAGGCATTCTGAGACTGTCTCAAAAGGAATCAACCCTGTACGTTCAGCCGTGTCAATTCTAATTGATTTCGTAATCCATGTACTATTGAAATTTGAATAAGACCAGGTGTGTGTTACCACTCGTGACTGAGGGATCTCAGCGCTGTCACTCCACTTCAGGCACCTACTTTGGCCCATTCTGAGACTGTCTCAAAAGGAATCAACCCTGTACGTTCAGCCGTGTCGATTCTAATTGATTTCGTAATCCATGTACTATTGAAATTTGAATAAGACCAGGTGTGTGTTACTGCTCGTGCCCAAGGGATCTCAGGGCCGTCAGAACTGATTTAAGGGCTTTTCACAGGCATTCTGAGACTGTCTCAAAAGGAATCAACCCTGTACGTTCAGCCGTGTCAATTCTAATTGATTTCGTAATCCATGTACTATTGAAATTTGAATAAGCGCAGGTACGTGTTACCACTCGTGTCTGAGGGATCTCAGCGCTGTCAGTCCACTTCAGGCACCTACTTTGGCCCATTCTGAGACTGTCTCAAAAGGAATGAACCCTGTACGTTCAGCCGTGTCGATTCTAATTGATTTCGTAATCCATGTACTATTTAACTTTGAATAAGACCAGGTGTGTGTTACTGCTCGTGCCCAAGGGATCTCAGGGCTGTCAGAACTGATTTAAGGGCTTTTCACAGGCATTCTGAGACTGTCTCAAAAGGAATCAACCCTGTACGTTCAGCCGTGTCAATTCTAATTGATTTCGTAATCCATGTACTATTGAAATTTGAATAAGACCAGGTGTGTGTTACCACTCGTGACTGAGGGATCTCAGCGCTGTCACTCCACTTCAGGCACCTACTTTGGCCCATTCTGAGACTGTCTCAAAAGGAATGAACCCTGTACGTTCAGCCGTGTCGATTCTAATTGATTTCGTAATCCATGCACTATTGAAATTTGAATAAGCGCAGGTACGTGTTACCACTCGTGACTGAGGGATCTCAGGGCTGTCAGTCCACTTCAGGCACCTACTTTGGCCCATTCTGAGACTGTCCCAAAAGGAATGAACCCTGTACGTTCAGCCGTGTCGATTCTAATTGATTTCGAAATCCATGTACTATTGAAATTCGAATAAGCCCAGGTGCGTGTTACTACTCGTGCCTGAGAGAACTCAGGGCTGTCAGAACACTTCAGGCACCTACTGTGGCCCATTCTGAGACTGTCCCAAAAGGAATGAACCCTGTACGTTCAGCCGTGTCGATTCTAATTGGTTTCGAAATCCATGTACTATTGAAATTTGAATAAGCCCAGGTGCGTGTTACCACTCGTGACTGAGGGAACTCAGGGCTGTCAGTCCACTTCAGGCACCTACTTTGGCCCATTCTGAGACTGTCCCAAAAGGAATGAACCCTGTACGTTCAGCCGTGTCGATTCTAATTGGTTTCGAAATCCATGTACTATTGAAATTTGAATAAGACCAGGTGTGTGTTACTGCTCGTGCCCGAGGGATCTCAGGGATGTCAGAACTGATTTAAGGGCTTTTCAGAGGCATTCTGAGACTGTCTCAACAGGAATCAACCCTGTACGTTCAGCCGTGTCGATTCTAATTGGTTTCGAAATCCATGTACTATTGAAATTTGAATAAGACCAGGTGTGTGTTACTGCTCGTGCACAAGGGATCTCAGTGAGACTGTCTCAAAAGGAATCAACCCTGTACGTTCAGCCGTGTCGATTCTAATTGATTTCGTAATCCATGTACTATTGAAATTTGAATAAGCCCATGTACGTGTTACCACTCGTGACTGCTGGATCTCAGGGCTGGCAGTCCACTTCAGCCCCTACTTTGGATCTTCTGAGACTGTCTCAAAAGGAATCAACCCCGTACGTTCAGCCGTGTCGATTCTAATTGATTTCGTAATCCATGTACTCTTGAAATTTGAATAAGACCAGGTGTGTGTTACTGCTCGTGTCCGAGGGATCTCGGGGCTGTCAGTCCACTTCAGGCACCTACTTTGGCCCATTCTGAGACTGTCTCAAAAGGAATCAACCCTGTACGTTCCGCCGTGTCGATTCTAATTGATTTCGTAATCCATGTACTATTGAAATTTGAATAAGACCAGGTGTGTGTTACTGCTCGAGCCCAAGGGATCTCAGGGCTGTCAGAACTGATTTAAGGGCTTTTCACAGGCATTCTGAGACTGTCTCAAAAGGAATCAACCCTGTACGTTCAGCCGTGTCGATTCTAATTGATTTCGTAATCCATGTACTATTGCAATTGGAATAAGTGCAGGTACATGTTACCACTCGTGATTGAGGGATCTCAGGGCTGTCACTCCACTTCAGGCACCTACTTTGGCCCATTCTGAGACTGTCTCAAAAGGAATCAACCCTGTACGTTCAGCCGTGTCGATTCTAATTGATTTCGTAATCCATGTACTATTGCAATTGGAATAAGCGCAGGTACGTGTTACCACTCGTGACTGCGGGATCTCAGGGCTGTCAGTCCACTTCAGGCACCTACTTTGGCCCATTCTGAGACTGTCTCAAAAGGAATCAACCCCGTACGTTCAGCCGTGTCGATTCTAATTGATTTCGTAATCCATGTACTCTTGAAATTTGAATAAGATCAGGTGTGTGTTACTGCTCGTGTCCGAGGGATCTCGGGGCTGTCAGTCCACTTCAGGCACCTACTTTGGCCCATTCTGAGACTGTCTCAAAAGGAATCAACCCCGTACGTTCAGCCGTGTCGATTCTAATTGATTTCGTAATCCATGTACTCTTGAAATTTGAATAAGATCAGGTGTGTGTTACTGCTCGTGTCCGAGGGATCTCGGGGCTGTCAGTCGACTTCAGGCACCTACTTTGGCCCATTCTGAGACTGTCTCAAAAGGAATCAACCCTGTACGTTCCGCCGTGTCGATTCTAATTGATTTCGTAATCCATGTACTATTGAAATTTGAATAATACCAGGTGTGTGTTACTGCTCGTGCCCGAGGGATCTCAGGGATGTCAGAACTGATTTAAGGCCTTTTCAGAGGCATTATGAGACTGTCTCAACAGGAATCAACCCTGTATGTTCAGCCGTGTCGATTCTAATTGATTTCGTAATCCATGTACTATTGAAATGTGAATAAGTGCAGGTACATGTTACCACTCGTGATTGAGGGATCTCAGGGCTGTCACTCCACTTCAGGCACCTACTTTGGCCCATTCTGAGACTGTCTCAAAAGGAATCAACCCTGTATGTTCAGCCGTGTCGATTCTAATTGATCTCGTAATCCATGTACTATTGTAATTTGAATAAGACCAGGTGTGTGTTACTGCTCGTGCCCAAGGGATCTCAGGGCTGTCAGAACTGATTTAAGGGCTTTTCACAGCCATTCTGAGACTGTCTCAAAAGGAATCAACCCTGTACGTTCAGCCGTGTCGATTCTAATTGATTTCGTAATCCATGTACTATTGAAATTTGAATAAGACCAGGTGTGTGTTACTGCTCGTGCCCAAGGGATCTCAGGGCTGTCAGAACTGGTTTAAGGGCTTTTCACAGGCATTCTGAGACTGTCTCAAAAGGAATCAACCCTGTACGTTCAGCCGTGTCGATTCTAATTGATTTCGTAATCCATGTACTATTGAAATTTGAATAAGCCCAGGTGCGTGTTACCACTCGTGATTGAGGGAACTCAGGGCTGTCAAAACTGATTTAAGGGCTTTTCACAGGCATTCTGAGACTGTCTCAAAAGGAATCAACCCTGTACGTTCAGCCGTGTCGATTCTAATTGATTTCGTAATCCATGTACTATTGCAATTGGAATAAACGCAGGTACGTGTTACCACTCGTGACTGCGGGATCTCAGGGCTGTCAGTCCACTTCAGGCCCCTACTTTGGCTCATTCTGAGACTGTCTCAAAAGGAATCAACCCCGTACGTTCAGCCGTGTCGATTCTAATTGATTTCGTAATCCATGTACTCTTGAAATTTGAATAAGACCAGGTGTGTGTTACTGCTCGTGTCCGAGGGATCTCGGGGCTGTCAGTCCACTTCAGGCACCTACTTTGGCCCATTCTGAGACTGTCTCAAAAGGAATCAACCCTGTACGTTCCGCCGTGTCGATTCTAATTGATTTCGTAATCCATGTACTATTGAAATTTGAATAATACCAGGTGTGTGTTACTGCTCGTGCCCGAGGGATCTCAGGGATGTCAGAACTGATTTAAGGCCTTTTCAGAGGCATTCTGAGACTGTGTCAAAAGGAATTAACCCTGTACGTTCAGCCGTGTCGATTCTAATTGATTTCGAAATCCATGTACCCCTGAAATTTGAATAAGACCAGGTGTGTGTTACCACTCGTGACTGAGGGAACCCAGGGCTGTCAGTCCACTTCAGGCACCTACTTTGGCCCATTCTGAGACTGTCCCAAAAGGAATGAACCCTGTACGTTCAGCCGTGTCGATTCTAATTGATTTCAAAATCCATGTACTATTGAAATTTGAATAAGACCAGGTGTGTGTTACTGCTCGTGCCCGAGGGATCTCAGGGCTGTCAGTCCACTTCAGGCACCTACTTTGGCCCATTCTGAGACTGTCCCAAAAGGAATGAACCCTGTACGTTCAGCCGTGTCGATTCTAATTGATTTCGAAATCCATGTACTATTGAAATTTGAATAAGACCAGGTGCGTGTTACTACTCGTGACTGAGGGAACTCAGGGCTGTCAGTCCACTTCAAGCACCTACTTTTGGCGCATTCTGAGACTGTCCTCAAAGGGAATGAACCCTGTACGTTCAGCCGTGTCGATTCTAATTGGATTTCGAAATCCATGTACTATTGAAATTTGAATAAGCCC